GTGAGCAGCGGACACTGATACGGCCAGCGGTCAGCGTGGTCAGAAGGGGCCAGTCAGCGCACAGACCGGAATGGTCAGATAGGAACACGGTCAGCAGCGCGGTCAGAGTGGTCAGACGGGGCCAGGTTAGAGTGGTCGGACGGGGCGCATCAGTGCGACCGGCAGGTCAGGATGGGTCAGGAACGAGGGGAGGTGAATGGGAGCACGTTAGCTGGCTTGACCTGCTGGACAGCCGGAGCGAAAGTAAGATCGGATATACCGGTGATAAGACTTGATTCAGCTCTGCAGAAGTCGCCGACCGGACCCAGGGACTATAGCGGGCCCCCGAAAAGCCTGGAAATAGAGCTCTGAATCCAGCAATGCTTGCAGAGCTTCACAGCTATAGGCATCAGACACAAGCCCATAGGCTTAGGTACGGCCGTAACTCTTCAGACAAAAAAAAAAGCGGAACGGAATATTATCTGTCTAGTCCTAAGCGAAATGTTTTTGCCGAGAGGCACGTCCACTTCGTTAACATAAATCCAATCATTGCATTCATATGAAGCTATCTTGCATTGCAATTAATGAAGCCAACCAGTCGAACCGAAACTATGCAGCCAACCAATCGTACCCAGAATCCGACCTCATTTCACGCCATGCAGCCAAACATACACTATTAGCATATCTTCTGCCAGCCGCCACAGAGGAACGGCCTCTTCATTACATATGCTGGGGAGCCTGCCACGCCCGCAATAAACATTACATAAATCTGCACTCGGCGTCTCACACTCTCCGTCATAAACATCCTGCAGTGCTCGGCCGGCGCTCTCCACGCCCTGCACTGGTGACTGTCGAGGACGCTGCCCACATGCCGACAGCCCCGCGCCGCGCCGGGTCGGACGGGTCGAGTGCCGAACGCCCCGGGCGGCTGCACCCACCCGCTGACGTGCCGTGTCACCGTGCCGCCGGCCGTGGCGCCGGGGCCGGGGTCGAGGTCAGACCGTCAGCCGGCGCGTCACGCTAGTCACATTACGTCACGACACGCTCGTCAGCCGTCATGTCACGGTTGGAGTCGACATGCGGTCAGCCCTCCGTGTCGGTACTGACGGGGTGTTCGGCTCGCGCAACGAGCGACGGTCGCCCACTACACCTACCCACCCCATGCAGAATCAACACACCAACTGACTACCGGCCATCAATGCCCCAGCATCGCTCTGGCCCTCTGCTCTTCCTTGACGTCGCAGCACCCTGACCCGAGCGCCAGCCGACATACTCCCGTTCGACCAAAGTTCAAACGCCCTTCGGTCCTCCGGTCCCCTGCTATACCCGGCGTCCCAACATAGCCCGCGACCACAGACATCCGGCCGACGGTGCTCCCGTTGCCGGCTGGCGACTGGGCGCGCGTCTCTGACCGCCACACCGGACTTCCTTCCCAGCTGCCCCGCCCCGGTCGGGTCGGCCCGCAGCCGCGCAGCAGCACAGACCGACCGGAGGCTGCTTCCGTCTGGCCGGTTTCACCGGATTACAGCTACTTGACCGAGTCCGATCATAACACAACGCTCCATATCGGGCAGGGCAGTCCGGCAGGTCAGGCCTGACCGGCTAAGCACGCGCTGGCCGCCCACCGCGGCCGGGTCAAGAGAGGATCATCCGGTCAATGGGTCAGGCACGGTCCTAGTGGGTTCGGTTGGGTCCGCAGCGGTTCAGAAAGTTCGTTTACAGAAAGTAGGAAAACAGGCAGTAAGATCTCACGACTTTATCACTGACCCACTCATGAATAACCAGATGAGTTATCCGTATTCCATCACCTGCTCGCATGAACTTTCATCCAGGAGCGTGTTGTCGACAACAGTCATGGGTGCATTCGGCACAGCGATGCAAATTGCAAGTCCCTTGCTTTGCATGCATAAGAAAATAATATCACAGGGCTAGTATCGCAACAAGGCTCTCCCTCAATCCTATGAGATTTCATCCATTTACATCGGTGAGATTTACCAAAATCAGAAAATAATTTGCTGCGACTGGCGACTGCACAGGAGCCGACACACTATTCGGCCTCCAGTACCATAGCCAACAGACAGGCACGCCGCCCAAAGCCAACAGACACAGACACATCATCTAGCACACTGGCAGTGTGTCAGTGGCGCACGGGAGCCGACACCAGGCGGTGTGGCACTCCGCCACTCCGGCGGCTGTGAGCGTGAGTCAGCGTCGCGTCGACACCCCACGGCGCGACGCGGCGGTCCGCCGACTCCCGGCACACGACACTGACTCGGTCCACGACCATCTGTCGCCACCGGAGTCCTTTCGCCTGGAGAGAGAGGGAGACACAGCGCAGACATGCCGGGCCGACGGGTAGACCGGCACACAGATGGGCCGACGCGTCCCGCGAGACCGGGATGGGCCGCCAGAAACGGGACAGACGCTCCTGAACTGGGGAAAGCTGCGGCGGGGCCGCGCAGCCGGCGTCGTCCGCCTGGCGCTATTGGTCGCGTCGTTTCACCCAGAAAACGAGCGACTCTGGGAGACACTTTCTCACGTCCCATGGCACGCTTAGCTGTTGGGCAATCTGAAAACTATTAACACTATGCATTCCCATGGGAGGAACGCGGTTGGCAAGAGTAACCGAGTTCGAGCTCAACTTCCAACCACATGTCAGGTAATTACATAACTCATTGGCACGTGGCTCGCTTCCTGGCCAGACGTCGCCTTGCGAAATGACATCGTTCGTTACGACATCGCCTCTCGGGACGCCACTTGATCCAGACTTCCTCACGACCGGCCAGCGGGAGCAGCTATTCGTAGAATCTCTGGTCATCTTCCTGAACCATATGTCGAGGGCTGTTCTCGGGACCGTCAGGTGACGGGGAAGCACCCGGTCCACGCGGGGCGGCACGCCGGGGCCTCCCACGTTGGTCGATGCGTCACCAAACACTCGCGTCACTGCTCAAACAGCTCTCCGGGGATCGTGTCGGAGAGCGTGTGCCGATAGCAAACTACTCGAGACAAGTGCTAATACTACGGACAGCCATGTGCTCCAGAATGTCGCCAGGTGACTGACTGGTGCGCAGCAGCTAGCCTGCATTATGACAGTATCACATATCAGGTATTTCAGGAATGCGATAGGAAAATGGTAACGGGACTGCACCTTGCCAGCACATATTTTCACAAGTCAAAACACCACCTAACAGTGTCACCGCTCTGGGCGAACCAATAACAAAAAGTGCCGGTAACAGCCGTGACAAGGAACTGTTAATCGCCCTTGTCGCCACTCGGCCTTCACATTTTCTCGACCACCACAGCAGTGGTCCGAAGCAGGTCCCTCACCGTTGCCGCCACACCCAGTCTTTGTTTACAGCGGCCCCAGTTCGATCTTATCGGAAACACTGACGTACCCGATCACCGCTACTAACGGGGCGTCAAAAGATCGTCTTCCTTGATTTGGATAGCTCCCAAACAGAATCGCATACAAAGAAGCCGACAAATACAGGAGCGTGTCACGGACTGGCAGCGATATCCACACAGCACAGCAATATTGCAATGGTGCTAGATGTGCGCCCTGAGGCATTATCTGATGAATAGAACTGAAAAGGGACTAAAGACGGCAATCATGGCTGAAGGCGATAAATAAAAGCAAATGGCGGCTCAAGGAGGACGGCCAAGCCGTCGCCGTCAGTACCTCGCCAGTTGTTTCCTTCGTACAGCAGGTGTCTTCAGTCTCAGTCACCGACCATTTCAGACAGGACCAAGAATGGAACAAACCGGGACTGCTACCGCGTGAGGTGAACAAAGGCCCAGTTCCGTGGCCGTCCTAACCAGACCCGGCCATAAAAGAGAAACTGTCCATTGACACGGGCGGCTCCTGGCGTGCGACCGGACCAAATGGACGACTCGCAGAACCGGCCGGTCACCGGCCGTTGGGAGAACCATTCGTCAGCCGCAGGCCCGCAGAATAAGGCAGTCGTACCTCTCCATAATGCCCACTACGGAAGGTCCTTGGTAGTCGGCTCGGTCCGAGCCGATGCGGGACTGCCTTATACGCGCTGTATAAGCCGACATTGGCCTTATACAGCGGCGACATGCGACCCGTTATCCTCTCCCTATGGTTCTACCGTCCGACTAAATCTCAATCGCCTGACACTGACAGCTCAAAGACTGTCCCTGGATGGGCCTGACAGACCCCCTCCCTCCGTTAGCAGCTGAGACAGTTGGCAGCTCCCCATACCCCCCGGAACTGGTTGGCACCGGTTCTCGGGTGCGGTTCCACCTGTCGCAAGGGTCACGTAACTAGCCGTTGGTCGCACGTCACTGCCTCGGGGCACGCTTCCATCGCGCCGGTCACGAACCCGAGCTCCCCGGAATGTATGACGTCATTCCAGCCAGGGGCGCGGCCTTCAGACGAACTGCGGGCCGGCCCGGACGCCCCAGCAGGTATTGATCACACGGACGGTGACGTCATCCGAGGGTGAGGCGTCATCACCCGGGGGTGACGTCATCAAATGAAAGGGGAGCACATGACTGCTGCATACAGCCTACACTTTGGTCGTTACCAAATAGAACTGAGCGCGGAAGAGGGTATGGCATCACCCACCGCTCCTCTCCGGTGGGTGACGTCATCCGTGTCACGAGGGAGTGACCTCACCCGACAGACTTGTAGGACGTCATACAAGGAGAGATGTCTCATCTGGGCTGGATGGAAGCCACCAAGCCAGAAGTAGTGCCGGGAAGCTGAGAGGATCGCCTCGGCACCAGGTGTTACGCCACAGATGCCACTTACAGAAGGGCCACACGTTGGGAAACATGATGTTTTATGCATACACTCGGAGTGTTTAGAAAGGGGCGCTTTACCGGTTTTTATCGCAAGTTTGGAGGATTTTCATAAGTGCTTCTGGTTTCATGTTGGACCAACGCTACAATGCGAAGGCAGGAATTAAAAGTTACCTACCCATACCCGCTTTTTAGCTTGGTAAACCAGACCTGAAGTGATGGGGTGGACACAGGTTTGAGGAGCGTGGACCCACCTTTCTGACGGAGACCCGGCAGACGCACGAGTCGAGCACTCCCGTGCTGCAGGGCGCCGTCATCTTGGCCGTGAACGACATCCGCGCGTTCCACTTGACCATGTGGTCGTGCACCTCCTCCCTGCAGAAACACAGAGGGAGATGTCATAAACGTTGGTTCGATAACGTCATTCATACTGTATTGCATAAAAACAAACACAAGACCACATAAATCGTAATCCTCGGGTTAGGGTTATCGATCGTAGGTTCTTAGATGTCACAAACGTCCGTCATAAATGTTGCAAACTCAAGAGCACGTCAATCACTAAAAACACCTGCCCACACCCATCAAAAACGTCACTTCACATCCGGCACAAACACCTGCTCACGAACTTCGCAAGTTTCGCCCACCATCTACACGGGTAAAAATTGTTTAGACGGCACCCCTAGGCCGAGCAACACGGTAGCAACCGGATCTAAGCGAATGGCGTGCCTAAAACAAGACACACACGGTTACTATCTAAAACGCTGTAACTAACCGTCCTAAGCTGCTGCGGCCATGTGTTATTACGAGCGAGCGTGAAGCGTGAAAGATTGATAGTCCCAAATCTCAATATTAGCATGCCAGGAAGGCCGATACTGAAACGGCTTCGGCTTCGAGAAGTCTATCCTCGGCCCGGCTCCGGACCCGTATATCGGTTTAACAAACAGTGGACAGGCTCGGTTCGCAGCCGTCACTCCCGCTCATCGTTTCGCTTTCGGGCTTAGACCGTGACCGTAATAACGGATGGGGAGAGGAATGAGTGAGTGAATGAGTAGTGCAGCAGTGGAATGGTGAGCCCACTCCCCATCCAACCAGCCTGCCCAGCGGGAGGGCATGGGTGACACCTCACGGTGGGAGGAAGGCTGGGACACGTCATCGGCCTCCAACGTGTCGCGCTTCTCCAATGGAGCCCCACCAGTGACATCATACCAGTCAGTAAACCAGCAGAGATGAACAAACCATATACCTACGGACCAATGGATAATCCACACACGGACCTGTGACCAAACCCTTGACAACCGACCCTACCAGTCAACCAGTGACAGCATACCAGTCAGCAAGCCAGCAGAGATAGACAAACTACGCGCCGGACCAATGGGCAAACCACGCACAAACTCGTAGCCAAACCTAAGACGGATTTTTATACATGCCAAGGATTGACAGAGAGCGATCGAGACATACCGCGCCTCCGACAGCCCAGAGCATCGTCAGCGCCCACCTCCGCGAAGGACCTCCGCAGGGCGCCCGAGTCGCGACCACCCGCGTACCGCACCGTCAACAAACACCCACTCCGAATCCAGATCGGCAGCCGCCAATGAGGCCATGTTTGTTATTGTGCGGCGCACCATGCGGCGGCCACCCTGCGGGGCAGGCGAGTCGGTCGGATAATCCACTTCTGATCTCATCCGTCTGCGACCCGGCGACCTGTCCATCACAGGTCGGTGGCGACTGGCGGGCCGCGTCATCGGGCGATTGGCTACTTAGCGAGATGATAGCTGCTCGACGACTGTGGCGGCCGACGGCGCCAGGAGAGACCATAGTCTGTCAGCTGGTAATACAGCTAATGGCCCAGTGCGTGTCCGGGAGGAGTGTTTCCGGGAATGTTTCCTGGTGAGTTACAGGTATGAGGTAGCTTCGCGACATGGAAACAAATGCAAGAAAAAGTTACCAGATGATTGCACTTTTTGCTGCCAGCATGATCCTTTCAAGATGTATGGCCCGTTGGAGTAAATCGTCTCCGACTTTCAAGAAAGAAGTTAAGTGTTTATGATCGTCATCAGACTTCTCGTTCCCGATCAATGGTCTCTGATCAGTTTGTTCGAACCGATCTGGACCTGTCCTTGATCCCCAATGGACCGCCGGGATTCTGTCGCCCCTCTCGCCAGTTGCTCTGTCCGGCCGTGACGAGCGGCGGACAGCGCGGGCGCCGGCCCTGTCGTCCGCGATCAGCTCCACCGGCTGACCTTGCCACCTACCAAGGTCGCTGGGACGGACGGACCGAGCTGCCGCGGCGCCGGCGACAGCACGGAGTCACGCAGACACGACCCCGCCGCACTGCTTCAGGGGGCAACACGACCAAACGTGCTAGACAATGGATCTGCTCCGAACGGCCGATGACAATCCATACACGATGATATTATCCCCCGCAGTCGGGCTATGTTGTCTAAACAAGGAACGTCACCGCTGTAACAGCTTTCTTCCGATTATTTCTTTTCATGGTTCTGAAAATATATCCAGATGCTTGGAAAACACTTGAAAATATCTTTCCATGTCCTATCAGAACAGAGTCCTACCAGAAGCCACCGAGGACCCATCGTGTCCTTGTCAGTCTCGCCAAGACGTCACTCACTTATCACTCTTCTGTAATAGCGGTTGGCACGCTCTGGGCACCACATCAAACACACATCATCAGTCGGCAAAGCATGCCGCAATCGCAAGCATCAGACTTGACTACAAGCGAAGCGGAACGCCCCACCGTGCGTCATTTCCGAAAAACAGCCAGCCTCGTTCATCCTTCGGTATAGCCGCACCCACGTGAAGACGGCGTCGTTTCAGAGCTGTTTGGGAAGGTCGAGTGGTCCTTGGTGTGTGTCGAGTGACGGCAGACGTGGTTCTTGGGACGAACTGGCCGGGAGGCTAGAGCGAGGCTTGGGAATGTGGTCTGATTCACAATGTCAACTGCGGTCTTTACTAAGGACTGTGGCATAACAGGCCGGATCAGAGTTAGAGAAGAGAAGTTGTCCAATGTCCACTGTATTTCGATGAGAGGTATGGACATCGGATTATCCACCGACTGAGATGGCTAACGCAACCGGAGGAGAGGAAGGTGAGGGATACCGAACGTGATATTTTGCAGTTTCCCGCTAGCAACGATTGCAAAATCGATCCGTGCACTAACCGGCAAAACAGCTGTGACCGTACCCGTAACAACCTGACCTACGCCCGTTATCTCGTCGTTCACACACGCTGCCAGAGCGGTGCAGTCAAACAGACCGAGAACGAGATAACCGCGTGCCAGTCTCCGGCGGACAGATGTCGCTTCACCAAGACCGGTTTTTGTCGGTATGCCTTGTAGTGCAGCTCTGATTTCGGCACAACATAACGAGCACTTCAGCAGGGATGTTGTTCCCAAAATGGCGATGAAAAGCCGTGTCTGAAGCAGCCGACAAAGAGACTCCGGCGCTCAGCAGCAACGGCGCACAACGTGTCACACTACCGGTCATGGCAAGTAACACAATACCGTTGTTCCGGCATGTTCGCCACTCTGCGGCGTGACAAGCCAGCTACTGTGTGCAGTAGGCACAGTCCGATACCTTCGTGCCCTGTGACCTGAAAGCGATACAAATCCTGGACTCGGTGGCCTGCGTGCAAGTGCACACGTACGCCGGACAACAGCGTTTGCCGGGTCATAAAAGGGTAGCGTTTCGCAACATACTGAAAGCCATCATAGTCCGTGCCTCTTAATTCTTATGCAACACCGACAATCACGCACCAAAGTCGGTAGCCGTCAACAGGCTCTCGCTCGCTCCCCGATTTTAGCGGGCGTTGGGACAGAACTGGCCAAGACCGGTACGAACCGCATAGCTGTCACTAATGACCAAGGACGGGCGCGACGGTAACTACCAACCAGGAAGGGCCCACTGCACTTACACACGCCACACCGGTCTGGCAGCGGTAGTGGTCACAGACGGAGCGCTTCAATAATGCATGGCGACGCTAATGAAATATGAAAGTGGGACTGACTGGTGCTGACCGGTCGGTCACAGGTCACTCGGATCATCAGCAGAGTCGAACCGCAACGCGCCCGACAACAGGACTGAACTAACGACAGGACTGAGACCGCTGACCTAACTGAGGCTACAGGACTGACGGTAGCAAAACTGGACCAAACAAAAGGACCGGGCAGACAATCAAAACCGATTGGAGGACAGGGCTGGTATGACAACAGGGTTGACACGAAGGCAGAACTGACACGAAAATAGCCGCCGAAAAGCTGGCTTGACAACAGGACAGATCCGACAACAGGGCCGGTACTAAACAGAACAGACCTGCCAACAGGACTGGCCTGCCAATACGACTGGTTTGGCAATGTAACTGACTCGACAGCAGGACTGACCCTTCATCCAACAACATGACTGATAGGTAGTTGTCCAGCCAGCAGGAAGAACACTACGACAGGTTGGGCGAACAGCAGGACCAGTCCGACACTGGGCACTCAACAGAGCGACGAGCGGAAAAGCCTCCACTGTACCTCATGACCCGAGGGTAGCCAAAACGACAGGGCATTGATGATAACCAGTGAAGGACAGCAGTGCATGAAAGGGCGGCACTGCAGCAGTGGCAAGGGCGGCGGTGGCCGTGCATCCCCAGAGGGTGTATGCAATGCATCCAGCCGAGCAGAGGAGCGAGAAAAGCAGAGGATCGGTTATCACATGGCCGGAAAGCGGACAGTGATACATAAATGTGTGGTGAGGCGGGACACGGTCTGTCATACATCAGCGATGTGATTCAAAGCCAATATTTGGGCTCATGCACTAGCACTGGCCACGGCCACACCGCCTACTCATCATTCGCAGGCACAGCTGCCAAGGGCTGTCTAGCCGTTCAGTTCTAAGCGTACTGCCCGTTCCCCCGCCTGAATCTCCGCACATCATCCGTCTATACCGTTCATTTGAATTTGTTTTCCTCTGCTCGGCTGCCAGTCTATCAATCCATGTCTGCGAGCTGAGCAGTCTCTACTCGGCACGGGCAGGGAGGGGTGTCAGACCACGGGGCCATCCGAGTCACGGGTGACCCCAATCGGCAGCTGGCGGGGCCACCAAGCGGCGCCCAGGGCCGACGGATTTGACCCCGACCTCGACCGGCGGCCGTCTGGGGCGACGACGACAGTCGCGGTAGCCCGCTACTCTTTTTCAAAGATAGCCACGGATGAACAGTCTTCCCGTCCACGCAGTTGGGCTGTACGCCTTACGACCAATAACAACGCCACATGCAGCTATCAGTCCAACTCGAGGTTCGCAGTATCACGCCACATGGAGTGCGCATCGCAGAATTCGGAGATACTTATCAAATTATTCCCGTGTCTGTATTACATAACCCAAGATACAAGCTACGAATCCCATGGGCCAGGGCAGAGAACGCGGATCCCAGCACTTGGGGGTACGGATCCCAGTATCACGGCATAGATAGCAGCACCAGCATGGATACCCGAGTATCCATAATCGGGAGTGGGACCACCCTTCTCAATCACTTCCCCACTGACCAGCAGGCCCCTACACCAGCCCCTGCGGCACGGGCGGTGGCCGGTCCCCCACAGCGCCGTCAGCCCACAATGGCGCAGTGACGCCGCCGGACAGACGACGTGACAAATGACCCACCGGGCGGCACCCGGACCGCACGCTGCCAGCAGGCGGGCGGTCACCGACGCGGGGGTGCCCCAGGCAAGGTCACAGTCAGCCGGGGAACCCGTCAGTCGCGGAACCGTCGGCGGTTCCTGAGAGACGGTGAGATGTTTGTTTTGTCGGCCGGGTTTGGGAGAGGGAGAACCTGGGTCATCAGTCATTCTCATTTCTCAAGGCTATAAGACGCTGAGTTCAATAATGCAGATGATAGGAGGTGCATCTCAAATCAATTGAAAACTGAATTGCTAGTTTGTGCCACGCCACCAATTGAATTGATCACAATTCGCAGTGGCTACGCAGTGACAATGTGTCGTATACGTCGTCGTGCATACTCGACGATGATCGACTTTCCAAATTACCATTTAAATGTAGTTTTGACTTATAACAATGGAGATGCTGAACACTGGAACTTATTGCAAGCACATGCCAACATCGTGTGACCTCAACCTGGGGTCAAATCAACTTTGTGATTCCCATTATAAATTCAATGGCAGAAAATGTCTCTTTAGAGAAAATATTATGTGATAAAGCATATGGTTATTCATCACTTAAATGGGAACTTTTGCAAGTGACCTCATCTTAACCAGTTGTCACTTCCATCATAATGGTGGTCCTTGTCCTCTGGATTATTGAAATAAAAACATTGACCTGAGGTAAACCTTTCAAAAATATGCATATTTTCTGCCATACCTATTGTATTTCACGTGTGCAGAAATTGACGCAATTATTTCAAACTTTAATGCCTCACCTGGTAGAGTGATCCATGAACTTCCCACCATCCAGTAGATGCACTTTGCAGAAGAGTACGGCACTAACAAATGGCACTGCCGTCAGCTCCTCCACTTCAAGGTCCACCTGGAACTTGTACTTCTTCTTTTTGGACATAATATTCATTGTTGCTTGAATGGTTGCTGGATTTTAAAACAACAGTTCCTGACTGATGAACTGCACTGTGTTGGTGTAAGCCTGGAATAGAAAATGAATTTCAATGTCATTTCCTCATACAATGTGCATCAGACACAATGCATCGTGGGAAGGAAATATGTTGAGGCACAAATGCAGGATAATATGAAGATAAAGGCATTGCATTAAATTATAAAACATGAAAGCATATCCCCTAATCTCAATTCAAATTCCACACAGCAAAAATTGAAATTAACTTATGTAGCAACTTGAATTATAACTGAACTTGAACTAGCAAGTGCCATTTGTTGACTTCAACTGAGGCTATCACTAGGATTTATGTATTTAAAAATTCTTAATCCAGAATTTCAGTCATAACAATAAACAAGTTGACGATCACAATCAATAATTATAAACCACCCCAACCCATGCCAAAGTCAATTTCAATTCAAGAGTCTGAGTTGTCAGACTGAGACTCGCGGTGAGTGAGAATACATAATGATGACAGAGAAAACGTAAAGACAATTCTCGGTTGTAAGCAAACACCTTCACTTACTCAGTATCACCAAAGAAACACTGCAATTAATCCAGAAAAGCACAACAGTAGCGCACTCACCCTCACGACAGCCGCCTCACGAATGACGCCGTTTTGGATCTCATCCACTGCGACATGAAGCACGAAATAAAGGAAATGTTCACACGACCCCATACTAGTAGACAGCCAAGATCTCGCCTAATTTTTTCTCGCCAAGCGAAATTTTCATGGACTATATTTTCTTCCAAGAGCTATTTTGAACCAATTTTTCTGAAAATTGTTTGATAATTATCAATGATTATGCTCATAAAATGAATTAACTACCAGCGAAAAAAAGGACGGGAGGGACATTAAAATTAGTGAAGACGTGAACTGTTAGCATCAAGCAATCTGCTTTAACACTTAAATATTGGAAAATAGTAAAGAGATGGCTCTTTCCTTGAGATTTCATTGGAAAAGTTAAAATCAACGGTGTTATTTCATTTATCGTTCTTGCAAAATGCTTGAAATTTAAGCCAAAAGTCACCTAGTATAAGCCCAGTATAAGCCTGATGATAGGCTAAAATATGGTAGCAAATGGGGATACGTCGGAGATGCGCCATAAATGATAACAAATCCCTTCCATTCGCAAGTTGTGTGGGTGAGTATGATAGAATGTATGATAGAAATAATAAATATTATATTCTTCGAAAGTTTTGTTAGATACGGCAAGTCCTACCCAGATAGGTACATTTTTCGTTTCCTTACTGAATTTTGGCCAGGCTTGTTTTACTTACACACATCATTTTAACTTAACAAACTGTATTCTCAGTCACTTGATATTCAAAAGTTTTATGCCGTGTGTACCATTTGCTAAAATTCTGCCCAGTCTTTGGCTGGCCCTAAATAAGCTTTGTGTGACTATTAACTTTGCATCTCGACTGGGGTGAGCAGCGAAAACAACCGGGACCCTGATTGGGTCCCGAAAGGCTAAACGCTGGACGGGATTAACCCGCCCGGAGAATAAAACGCCGTGACCAGAAAGCGGCCTCCCCAGCACTTGAGAATTCACAAGTCACAACTGCTATCCCTGATTAAGGAAGGTCAATAATCAACAGTGGATCTAGATTGGTGGGCTTTATTGTAACAGCTAGCTGAGAGTTGGATCCACCGTCAGACATTGCCTATGAGGCGGTTAGTAGATGCCAAATTCATTAGTTACTTTTTGTGTGGGTAGGCATTTGTGACATTTATGTGTATTATGTAAGAAAACATTTTGCCTGAAATTTTAGAACATATAATGCTGGTAAATTGAAGGACTTCTACTGGCTAACAGCTCAGTAATAACATCTGACCAGGATGTATCAAAGTTATCCAGACATCTTTTTTTTTCCATAGCTGTTCCTAGTGCACCATTTCTTTTCTGATGCTTGAAGTGGGCAAATTGAATGAATATGTGCTTGTGGTATCGGTCCTCACTGCAGGAGTGACCTGACCTTGCATGGTGACCTTTGCTGTGAGTTCGGGTCGAGTCACCACTGGGTTCACTTGGCAGTTTTCGTCCAAGGCAGTGCCAGGAAAGGAGTACATTCTCTCCTGTTGTCGCAAAATTGCATGAGGGTGGCATGGCGACATCCATGGTGGCATGGGCTATAGCGGCTATGGGATAGTCTGCCAGCAGCTGAAAATTAGCAGCAGCCAGTTGCACATCTGCCTGAGCCCTGAGGCGTTGTAACCTGAGACTATGGTAGCAGACTCAGCCCGGCCGGGACAGCAAAAACCGCCCTTTGCCAAGTGGTGAGGAGAGTTGTTGAGATAATGACAAGGAAAAGACACGAATCAATGCGCAGACTAGCTCGAATGTTAATCAAGGCATGTAATAAGAGTTCCCCCATCATGATCTATCGCTACCCAAGTTACAACTTTTTTCAATGTTCTGCTACCATTTAAACGGAAAAAGAAAACAAAGGTGACGGGAAAACAACCAGCCCACCGCCTTTAGCCTCACACAAAAGCACGTCCACTGGTTAGTGGTTGGAGTAAGACATGAGTAAGATGGTCTGGTCGGATGGGTCACCGCGAGTTGTATCATCCTTTGAACCGTCAGATCTGCCGTTTGTGTGCGGCGAGAGGCTCGAACGTACCGGCCGTCACCAGCGTCAAACATCCGGCCAAGATCCAGATCTGGAGCAAGTTCAGCTGCTGTGCGATGTTCCATTTGCACATAAGGTCACAGGAAACCACCATCAACGTGTATTACCCGAGCAACATCCTGGTCAACGAATGTATGGATGCGCTCAGCTGGACGGCACAGGGGAGCTCGGTTTCTGAACGCGCACCGATGCCTGATTCAAGCCACGCCGTCTTCACGCGGGGCGGCGCGCCACCTCAAAGCCCCTAGAACAATGACCGAGAGAACCTCCTATCATTCTGGGCTAGTGGGTTTGGCTTAGAAATAGTTCCTATCCCAATCCAATCAAAACTTGTGGGCTATTGTCCAGCAGGTGAATGAAGAGTCACCCGCCACCAGCATTACCCAACTGCAGTCACAGGTCAACACGGCGTCCGGCCACATCAAACCCAGTGTGCTGGAGAACCCAGTGGCTGAAATGCTTCAGCACATTTGTAATTGTGTTCGTATGAAAGGTGACAATATCGTCATTTATAGGAAAAGAACCAGTTAGATTTGATTCTTAATTCCAGTAGGGTGGGGTCAAAGATGTCCGGATAATTTCGCTACACCCTGTAAGTCTTTTAAGATTGTTGATCAGTACCTAGCAGTTTAAAAATTAGTAGCCCAGCTCCGCGAGAAAACTGTCAGAAGTTGGCACAAGTGTCCCATATGGAAGTGCTGCACCTCATCACCAGGGCCAAGTAGCATTTCTGATGTCCATTACATGAATGGTTGTTGCATGCAAACGTCTTCTTACTTGCTTGTATGACTTGCTAGTCACTCCCACAGGACAATAATATTCGGTTTTGTTCCACAGGTATAGGTCACTGCAATGGCTTTGAGACGGCTGGCTGGCAATCTGGTGTCCGCGGTGCGACCGCTCAGCCTTCAACTGGCCAGGAACTACCGTGCGGCAGTGCTTACAGAGTTTGGCCGCCCACTGCAAGTTCAAGACCTCGAACCAAAGGCACTAGCTCCGGATGAGGTGAGCGCACTCAACATATTTTGCATCTTAGCATGCGGTTCGGACTGAACACTTTTCACCATCACCGGAACTCTCTTCGCAAGATCGGGTGGTGGATCCGTGGTGTCATTCGCAACAAGAACCGCTTATAAAGCGTAGCACCTGGTTCCAAAGTTACCTGCAGTTTATTCATTCAAACAAAATTGCTTTTATTAAAGATAATGATTATATAAGTCCCCTTACCCCAAAAGTGATCGTTGCCCAGGTCGAACCAGTAGAGACAGAGCCTTGCTCGATGGTTGCAGACAACGCCTCTGTCTCATCCCGCTCGCCAAATATGAACCAGGCTGATTCTGACATCCCGTGGGGTTGTTGACTTGACGCCAAGTCAAAGTGATAGTAGCTCGTGCCAGTGTTTCGTGTGTATTGGTTTCCAATACTGTGTGCCCACGTAAAAAGTGTGGTAGACTTATGATATTGTTCAGAATGCATGTGTGTAGGATGATGGAAATTTAACCAACAATGCATTGTTACGTGATAAGTCATAGAATAATAGTAGTAATAATTACAATATGATTTCTCGCGTCAACAGGTTCGTGTGGCTGTGTACAACTGTGGCGTCAACGCCTCGGACATTCTAACATGCCAGGGTGTGTACGAGAACCTGCCGAACCTGCCCTTCGTGCCTGGCTTCGAGTTCTCCGGGGAGGTTCTGGAGGTGAGCATCGACACAACAGAGGAATTGGTTGCAGGGATGTCTAAACAGGGATGGATGGGAGTAAGACGAACGTTGGGATTAAGCTTGAACTTCTTTTTTACCCTTGGTGTAGATTTTAAGGCATAACGTTGTCGCTCCTGGCGGGTTAAAGTCTCCAGTTTTCCGTCTCCAGTAACCGCTATGTCTATGTCGGCTTTTCTATGCCTGTGACCGCAGTGCCATCTGTGTCTCTCCGTTCCAGGTGGGCTCGGAGGTGACGGCAGTGCAGAAAGGCGGACGGGTGATCGGACTGCAGAGCTCGGGCAGCGGCGGGTTCGCCGAACAGATCGTCACCACCGCCGCGGTGAGTCGTATGCGTGGCATGATGGCTCTGTGTCCTGACGTCTTACTGATGCATATATAATGGTACCATGTGCACTGATGTTTGGAGACTTTCAGACTACTAATGGCTGAAGCATTAGGTGTGAACGGTGTCGAGGAATAACATTTATGTGAATAAGGAAAAACAAACGTTCATTGAATGCAAAAAAATTAATTGTCGATTCCGTAACACCATGCAACAAATGTCCTGAACATATTTAGCGCTTGTTATAATCTCCTGACAAGGACCGTGTGCGGGCTAAGCACAAATCCTGCGTATGTGATTGCGAGCGAATAAGCTATTACATGGTCCAACTGCAAACACGCAATGGTACACCGCCGTTTGCAAGCCTGTCATTTATCTCCATCACGTGCCGACCATGTGATCGCCCTTCCATGGTCGCCTCTCCATCGTATGTCGGCACACCAATCTTGGAAAGTCAGCCCGTGTTAACCTTCTCTGTCCATCGGCAGGACCTGTTTCCGGTGGACAACTCGCTGGAGTTTGAGGCCGGCGCCGCTCTGGCAGACACCTACGCCACAGCCCTGTTGGGTCTGCAGCGGCGCGCTGCCCTGCAGAAGGGGGACACGGTGATGGTAACGGCGGCCGCCGGCGGACTGGGGCTCGCCGCCGTCGACCTGGCCGCCAACGTCTTCAAATGTCAGGTCAGTGGAACGGCGTCAATGTTTGTGACTAGGACGGCCCCACTGGGGGTGACGCTTTCTTGGACTTGTTTCGCCAAATGGCTCAAAAGCTGATAGCTGGCTAGGGTGACATCTGGTGGCCAATGCCAGCTCGATGTAGTTGCGTAGGTGGCACCACCGCTGTGGAAGGATGAGGTTGTGTATTGTGTATTGTGTATTGTGTATTGTGCCAAGCCAACCACAGACCCAGCGGCCCATTTACAGTGGCAGTCATGCCCATAAAATACAAAAAAAAAAACACACTACATACTACTACAAAGCACGATACATTGTCTCAGATGTAAGCACCCTGAGAACGAGCGAAATCACACACATCAGAATGGATGCAGTTCGACGGAGCCAACATATCTGCATTCGGAATTTTCTGTAGAAAATTGTTGCATAGCACAGGAATGCGAATGAAAAGTCCCGACTTTACAGTGTTCACTCTGCCGAATGTGACATGAAACAGTGCTGGCTGCCGAGAACGTCTGTTAGGGACCGCCAGACCAAACAGACCCAGAAGGTGAGGACAGTCGATCCGTCCATGGTGCAATCACAAAACCAGACGGAGATCGGCTTGAATAAAGCGCGATTTCAAAGAACACATGCCAAATCGAACAAGAAGCGTCTCATAACTCATGGGCAGGTCGCGACCGTGGGTGTTGGATGCCAGCCAAGACAAGAAGCGATGCTGCATGCGCTCGAGCCGCGCCAGATGTGTTACTGCTGCGCCACTCCATACAACGCTGCCATACTCAGCAATGGAGCGAACATGGGCATTGTACGCGGCGATCAGCGCACTATGGTCAAACTTGACCCGCAAACTTGACCGGTCAAACTTGACCCGGTTCTCTAGTGGGGACGGGGAGGGATTGAGTTTGGGCTTCTGGAGTGCTACTAAAACTGAATTCTTCTCCCCACTCCCCACATGATTGCTGTATTGCTCTTTACTCACACCAAATGTCTGAATTGCAAACTGTCCTCTTCTAAGCTTTCTTTAGTTTCATGACAGCTGACAGCGTTGATGGGACAGATATCGATACAAATACAATCGTGAGCCAATGGATATGGGTAGCGAAGATATACCCTTACCTCGGCTGTCCCTTTTCGCTTGTTCAGTGGGATTCGTATCGATTTCTATGGCGATCATGTCAATTTTTATAATAACTATTTTAGAACACCTTGAGATACGAGCGCAAATACAGATCGAGTCATACTTCTTTGGAGGATGTCAGATAATGGCCGATACGATAGCTCCGTCTCTGGCCAATAAGTTGTCGGGCGGGGAGAGGACGGATGGTGCCCATGGTCATGTTTGCGAATTATGGGCTCAAATCATGCTTGAAGGGCTCTTTTTGAGGGATCACTACCCCGTGACCCACCCCGTGACCCACCCCCTGGATCTGCCCATGGGGATGACACGACTGAGGTGCCCATAATCTTACCTCGTGACTCAAGAGACTAACGAATCGCTAGTAAATTATGCCGCGACAATGCTGCCACCTGTGAATGTTTTGCTTCTGCCGTCCTCTACCGGTTCAGGGAAGCCTTATCGAAAATGTCTTGGACTTTTGAGACATTGAATCGAGACCGTGAAAGATAAAAATTGTCTTACTCATTTTATTGTTTCGTTACTTTGTACTCTTAAATTTACCATGTTATTCATTTTTACTTAGAATGAGACATATTAGGCGAATATCATTCTCAATGTGATATAGGTGTTTGACATGAGTCACATGAGTCTTAATGATCCGTTTTGACGATGCAGTATGCAATGACTGTCGCGAGAATACCGATATTAAATCAGTGATTAGAGACGATTTTGATGAAGAACTGAATTGAACGCAGCTGCAGATGACTTACCCCGACGTGAGCCTAAATTTACGTAATATTTCCGTAAGTTTCAGCTAAACGTCATTTAAGGCTCATGTAACCAAACACCCTTCGGGCGCTGCCAAAATCAAATATTGTCAACATTTATCAGAAAGGTGACTGTCTCCTTAACCCCATTTTCGAACGGAGCGTCCCAGATCTTGGTTATAGGCGATTACGATTGCAAGATCTAGGACCTCGAAACCCCGCTCGCCCTTCTATTCGTCTTTCGAACATTCTTGACAGATAATTGGAAAGGCTATTTAGCAGTTGGCGATTCATTCACACTGCTCAGCACGTATTCAGCTCGCAAGAGAGCGTTTTGCACTCAACGTGCAACCATGTCTCCGAAGACTAGGGAAAATACCTCTCAGAAGGCCAGTTAGGCTTAGCTCGAACCAAGGCTCGAACGACCCAGCCCAGATTCATAACACTTGAGAGACAAGTCTGGCCTCGAGCTGGGGTCTGGAAAACTGAGGCATCTGCCACTGTTGAGTATGCTCCAGTCGAGCCGGTACCACACTGGTGTTGAGATTGGTTCTACAAGTCAATATGCTTTCTTTGCTGACGGTCGGATAACCCTCAGAGCTATTACGCTTCCATTCAAGTCGATATGCCGTTTTTACTGATAACAAATCCACTTCCCTATTGATTTTATAATGCACTCTGTTCTAATGCGCTTTACGATGGTCATGAAGCCGACACGTGCTTTGCGGTTATCGATGGGCATTAGCAGCTGACAAATTGGCCCAATCTACGATAAGCTCACTTTCGTAACACGGTGTAGTCGATATCGAATATCGCATGTGCTGTGACGCGCCCCACGTTAGTCCTCCCCTCCTGGGTACGCTCTAGTCGGCACGGGGTGCAGTGTGAATTGGAGACGCACCACTCTCCACCGAGATCTATTACGGCCATTACGGGCGAGTGTCGCGGCGAAGCTCGCTGAAAATTGACCCGTAATGGCCCGGCGGCGGCGCTGCTCCGTGACGCCACACGGAGATTGAGTTACGCTCCGGGAAGTTGGGAGCTGACTGACCCCCCGCTCAGGGGATTTGAGCGCAGCGGAGCGGTCGACACGGTCTCTAATTTTCGGACTGATTGAATTCGGTGGTATAGTTTCGGTAATAGTGTCTTGAAGGTGTGTATGAAATGCGATTGTAGCGGGATTGATGTAGACATTGAGTTGTGTTGGTAGATAAATATGATTGTTTCATAATCGTGCAGTATATTTACCCACGTTTCCTATCCGTACAAGCGCAGAGCCATGAAAACATAAAGGCTAAAATGAGTATGCCACTGCCATTCTTGATAACAAGTACCAACTTTTCAACAGAATTTTAACGTATATTTGAGGAGTTAAATCTGGAATAACCAGTTGACCACTGTATTGCCCCTGGCGGTTCTCGGAGATCAATGCCCCCTTTCCTCCCCCTAACACGTCCGCCGGTTGTTCCCTGAGCCTGACCTCTCTGACCTCCCCCCGTGTCAGGTGATCGCCGTGTGCGGTACCGAAGACAAGGCGTCGCTGGTGCGCGAGAAGGGGGCCTTCGCCGCGCTGGGCTTCCACAGAGAACACCTGAAGAAGAAAGTGCGGGACGTGACCGGTCTGAAGGGTATCAAGGTCATATTCGATGCCGTCGGCGGCGAGGTCTTTGAGGAGGCTATCAAATGGTGAGCAGGCAATCGCAACGGCGCCGGGATATGTCTCGGGAGGGGGACTCGGCTTTGGATACTTTGTAATGTTAGTTGCGAAAACCGCAATGATAGCGCTGCAATTTTTGGTAACTACATATTTTCGAGATGTACGAGTATTTTGCCTGCATTTAAACCAAATTAGATCTCGGGTAATGTTCAGTTCAGGTGCTGGTCGCAATCGACCACTTGGGACTCATTTGGGCTTCCTGTGTTCATTCAGCGTCTGAAGGATGACCACTACCAGGAGACCCAGCGTCAGTGTATCCGAGCACAAATAGGATTCACGGAAAACCAGGTCATCAATAGGCATCAAAAGCTCTAGCTTTGGATTAACTCGGGGGAATACCTGCATGCGCAGTTGGTATATTTATGATATCTGTTGGATGTAACGATCTACTCGCTCGCAAATCCCATGTTTCCGTTAACTATTCATAAGGGATATTTTTAATGCTTCCAAACGATGTCACAATTATCTACTAATGCTATGGATAGGTCGCCATCCCTGTGGCTCTTTTTTCTTGTAACACAACCTTCGCCTCCATCCGATGACTCCATGTCGTTGACACCTCGATCTGTTCCATGTCGATTCGGTACCGAATTGAGCCGGCTTAGGAGCCGTTTGTGTTGGCTTGGGAAATGCTATGCATCTCTAGAGCCTCTCAGTGGTACCGAAACCGATCTGCCGGTGTCAGTATCTGCGAGCGATGCGCTTTACATATCCCCAAATAGCCGTATTCCGTCCCGCCCTCCCCAGGGGCCGCGCTCCCGAATTGACTCGCCTGTATTGACTCCCGCAATAGACTCGCCTGTATTGACTCCTCAATGGGCTCGCCTATATTGACTCCCCTATAGACTCGATTCCCTCTCTTGTCTCTCCATCCCCACGGACCGCGCTCCCCCAATAGACTAGTCTATTGACTCCTGTATAGCCTCGACTCCCCCCCCCCCCTCTCCCCGCGCTCCGCTCACGCTGTTTACCTCGTCTAACCGAGACCGTCTGTTTCTGACAGCGTGGCGCACGAGGGAAAGGTAATCGTGGCCGGGTTCGCGTCCCGCACGGTACCGCACGTGGCGACGAGCTCCCTGCTGCCGCGCTCCTTCTCACTGATCGGCCTATCGCTCAGACATTACCGCGAGGCCGACAATGCTGTCTTCAGGTGAGGAGGTGTCAGGGCAGACGGCGGTGGATAATGTAAAGCAGACTGTGGGATAGATGACGGTGTATGAATGTAAAGGGATGTGAGGCAGGCAACGCTGTGATTACTGATTAGGTAGCAAGACCAAAGCCGATAATTGTGTTCGGGAGAAATAATTTCCTTCAAATTTCTCCAAAATCCTCGGTTAAACGGACTGGTTTGGGGGGAGGGATGGATGGCATGCTTTCAGTGGCGCACATTGCAGCGTTACCGAGCAAGGAGCGCACAACACCTTTGTCGGGTAAATAGGCCTCAGGGAAGTGGCTGGGTGTGATGCCTTGCCTTCGGCGGAGGTAAACATCCATCTAATTCTGCTTGAAGAGACGCCAACAGACGGAAAACAGGCCTTGTTTTTGTGTGTTGAAAAGGCACTGTCGCATTGCTGTCAAATGCAGAGTAATGGTGAAGACGCCTTGCCCCAGGGTGCATTACGTAATGAGACTTGTGTTACGCCGACCCCCGGCGGTGTTCGGCGTACCTTGTGCGAGGATAGTAAGAAATTCATCTCGTTCAGTGAGCCCATGTGAGTCTGCAAATGACCTGTATATAAACCTTGCTTACCTTGTCTAACAGCATTCTGGCTGGCTTAGAATGCATCCTTTTAATGTGCGCTCCTCAGCATCCAGGTGATTGTTCAAGTTATCAGTTAGTTAAGGTTCAACATCGATTTGAACAAAAACTAAATCCTCTTACATGAAGACATTATGCCAACGCTACACAGCTTCTGTGGCCTTTGCTGCGGTTGTTTTTCACCGATATTTTAAAATAAAAAAGGAAACTAGCATCACCGGTCGGCCGAGAAGTTTTCGTCGTTAGTTTTGTTGTTTGCCGAACTACTTACACCACGCACTGTTTGTTTTGAATTTTGTGACTCGTCTTTTAGTGGTTTGAGGGTGCGCTGACGGTTCGTTCCGCTAGATAAATACAAATTTATTTGTCTGTTCGAGTTCCGTGAAAGTTTTGACTTTGAAGGCCTGTGACGATATGGTCGCCCCAATCACAGTTCCCAGCCCTCTCAATGGTCGCTAAAACGTAAAAAATCGCTAGATGCTGACAGATGCTCATGACTTCGTCTAAAAGCGTTCGTTTATCTTTTGCAGACAAGCGGTCCTCGACTCAATCGAACTGTATGAGTCAGGCCTCATCGCCCCGCACATTTCGGCCCAGTACCCGCTAGAGCAAGTCAACGAAGCTCTAAGTTTCATCTCAGAACGCAAGTCCACCGGCAAAGTGTTGTTAGACATCCGGTGACCTGACCCTGGGTCGTCCGGTGACCTGACATTTGGTCAGCGGGACATTTGGCGTTGTATTGGCAAGTGAAGCGATATTGAGTCAAAATGTGGTCTGAAAATGGAGAGTTGCGATGAGACGGACAGTGCTGCATTGCGCTTTGTCTGGGCGGTATGATGTGACGCTCAGTGGCTTTCATCTGACTGAGTGCCCCGCAGTTTTCCACCGATTCTTGTGTAGCGTCACATGCCCTTACCTACGTTCAGCATGGCGCCACACACGGGTAGGGCGTTTATTCTGGTTTGTCTGCGCGACTTGGCCAGCCGCTGGAATGGATGTTGCCTTGCTTCTTTATGCGAGTTGTGCAGGCCGCGTGGTGCCTGGCATGGCGATAGTAGTATCGCGCTACATGCATCCTCGTGTAGCTGTTTGGTATTGATGAGACTGATCGTATGGATTTCATGAGCTGTGTGTGAAGGATGCCAGTCGACTTCAGACAGGAAGGGATGTGTCACGCTGTAGTAGCGTCATGCTGTCTCTGCGATGAATGCCGTGCTGTGAAATGTTTTGGTAGAGAATGTTTACCGTGTGCGCTCCAACTAATTGGTTAACGCATATACAGGGTAAATAAACACGTGTATCATAGTCCAGAACTTTGAGTTACATATGTGTGTTTATGGAAGTGAAGTTATTCAGTTTGGTCCCAACCTTACCAGATAATCAAGATGACGTTCCGTCGTATCTATCATTTGTATAAATTATTTATCTATGCTATTTATCGACGATTTTCCAAAAAAAAATCTTAGTTATTTGCTTGAGTGTGTACGGCGTATTCTTCCGTCATCTGAAGTGGCGTTTAAGTATGAACTTTATGCAACAAACTGGTAAATGTATAAGGATAATATTCTAACTTCTAGGAGCAAAGGATGGAACAACTGCAGCAATGGTTTAGAAAAGGTCACACTCCCGCCGTCTGCTAGTGCGCCCTTAAGCTCAGTGTTCAATATCCCTCCTGAACTGTGGTAGGGGGCCACGACGAAAGTCCGGTCAAATATACTGTGCCAGATGGCCATAACTTGTTACCCGGATTCAGAATCTCGTTAAAATTATAATTTTAATCTTCTATTTCATCGATTCATTCTCGAGGTCGGAGTAGATAGATCGGAGTAATTGTTCCCTGCTGGGTCATAACTCGTTGATGACGCCGTACATCGATTAATTGGGCTTTAACGGTGCAAAGGTCAGATTTGAGGTCGGCGACTTTGCCTGCAGACTGAACAAAATAAAAAATGGTTATCGTTGCTCGGTATTATTCTTGCTTCATGTTTGTGATGCGTCCCGCCAGAAAAGAAGTTATTCAGAATCTGACCCAAGAGCAATGGAAACAGTCGACCTGTGTCAAGGAAATGAATCCAGTATCCTTTTTTCGGCCTGCAATTTGTCTTATTGAAAAAAAGTCTTCTGAGAATTTTGCAGAAGATGTCGGAGATCAGAATTCAATTCATTTCAGAAAAGCCTATGCAAATATTTAAATTCCTGTGTCATGGTCGCGGTTAACCCGGCACCGTGCCAAAGTGATGTGCAATTCGTGTGGGCTAAGATGTGGTTCCCCCAGCTTTCGTCCCATTTGCGCCGTGTCACCACCTGTGCGTTCACTCGTCTCACGTTTCACGCATCGAGTCTAACGAAGTTGCCGGCTCAATCACAAGTTCTGATCACCCCGGCACGGCTTCGGCGACTTCATCTCTATTTACGATCGCGCCGTCAGTCCCCCGGCGCCTCTGTGAGCGCTCGGCGCGAGCCCGGCCGCCGGGTTGCAGCCGTCGCCGGCGCCGCGGCCGCGAATCTGGCGGTCTGCAAGCACCGTGCCACTGCGAGCCGCTGCCTATATTGATTTGGATCCTGTGCCGGGTGCGCGGCTGCTACCTGGCGGCGCAGCGCGGCGGCCGCGGCGGCCGAGGAGCTCAGCCACAGGTGGTCGGGGCAGCGGCACGGCCGCCGGCCACGGGTGACCTGTGACCAACCCGGCGGCGACTGGCGGCTGCCAGGCCGACCTCTCGGTGACTGCGGTGTCCGGTGTCAGTAGGACCCAGCTCGGCGTCGGCCCGCGGCAGGTACGGCCCTACGGTCGGGCACGGCGGGCGGAGGGGCGGAACGACGGGCGCGTATCGCCGGCGACGAGCCACAGGTGGCGGCCGGCGCCGCGCCAACTCATTGATACCGTCTAGCACGTGCTTCCCTTGGGAATGAATGTGTGGTGGGCGGCTAGTGGAGGGATTTAACGGCTCCTTCTGCAGTGCTAATACTCATTTTCCGCTGACCGCAGCGTGTTAAAGGGAAGCTAAAATTAGTCGCTCTGCTTTTCTTTGATAGCCAGATAATTTCACGCTGAAGTGATGAGAGTCGCAGCCAACTCCATCTTTGTGGCGGTGGATGGGGGGGGGGCGTATATGGTCACATCGATTAGTTCCAAAACTAAGAAAGCTAGGAGGACGCTGAAAAAAGATCGATAGCTTTTCGCAATTATCTTCAAATGGAAAAGTCATTTTCTCCCAGTTCAACGCTGAGGTTACGTAGGTAGATGACTGAGGTCACGTAGAAGTCAGAACGACGAATTTTCACCGTGAAGTTTTCCCCATTTTGACGATTTTTCACCAATAGTGCTTGACTCGTGAACCAAAAGAGGTTTCATCTAAGGCTAACAGTTTTGTCTACAGAGGATGAAAACCTCCAAAATAGGTGGATTAAGCCATAAGTTATTATGCAATATTTTAGGCGTCAATTATTGTAGGTTACCACCAGGGCTGCGGAGTCGGAGTCTGAGTCGGAGTCGGAGTCGGTCGGAGTCGACAGTTGTGACCGGAGTCGGAGTCGGAGTCACCGAAAATCTGTCGACTCCGCAGCCCTGCTAGGTCTGCGGAGTCGGAGTCGGGAGTTGGAGTCGGTCGGAGTCGACAATTCTGCCCGGAGTCGGAGTCGGAGTCGGAGCTGGTTTTTGAAAGCCAGAGTCGGAGTCGGAGTCGGAGTCGCCGAAAATCCATCGACTCCGCAGCCCTGGTTACCACCATTGTGTTCCTCTCGTCGAAACGCGTCGAACGGAGAATTTAAATTGGAAGGGTCAATTTGGAAATTTGACCTCAGGCTAGGTCACGCCCTGACCAATTCAGTTGCATATCAGTCGATCTTTCCCCGCGCCGTGCTGGTGGTCTGAGTTTTCCGTGTCGTGCTGGGGGGGGGGGGGGGTGTTACGCCCCCTCGTCTAAATCGGCTGACGGCTCCTGAGCCAGGAAACGTAACAACACGCGGTAAGCGGCATTCGAAAGAGGATAAAAATAATGACGGAAATACTTCGGGTCATAGTTTGTTAGGTGAAAGTTCAGGTCACCAGAGGTCATCAAGGGTCAAATTTTGTTTATCTCAATTGAACTGTAAGGACTACAGGATCGCAATTTTTTTAGAAGCATAACATTATTTGACCTGATAGGCTGAACTTGGGTCACCTGGGCCAAAAATTCCACTGACGATGCAAAATTGATGTATCATGTAGGTATGAGACTATCGCTACATGCTTTTTCACCACGCAAGAGAACTGGCGAAGGCGAACCCCCCACCCCCACCCACCACCCGGCACTAGGCTAAAGGTTAAGAGGCTACGCATTTTCAGGCTATACATATACTGCCTATTACAGAGTGCTAATATGCTTTTCAAATACATTAACCCTCGCCCGTAAACGGCGATCTGCCACCTTCGCCCATGCAGGGGGGGGGTTGGTGCGACCCCCCCCTTGGCGTTTGAAAACGGAGCGTCGTAGAGCTTAGCGGAAAAGACCAACGGATTGCTCTCGCCGAGATCTCGCGATTGGTGGTATATTTTTTGGTCCTAGGTCAACATTTGACCTACTTTTGACCGGTTAAATGTCAAATTTTCGGAAAAATAGACTTTTTTCAATTTTCCGCGGCGATTGCGGCAAAACGGTGGGAGATATCGACTTGAAACCTTCACTATCGTGTTCCTTGATCAATTCTCTATCGTTTGGTATGTATTTCGTTTCCCTAGCTCTAAAAATGGCGCGTTGGGAGCGCCGGAAGTCGGCAAGGTCACAGTCGGCGGCAGAAATTCGAAAAATCAAAATTTAAATTTTTGAAATCTGATTGTATTTTTGGATTTGGGAGGTCCATTTGCTCCCTATAGAAGCTAATATTGCTGCATATTCCCATTGAGGTGACAAGAATTAGCAAAATAGTGGTTCGGGCGCTTTTCAAAAATAGAACCGGACGCTGTTCCTCTTGTGACGTCATAGCTCCGTGACCTGACCTGACCCGGTCAGGTTTCTTATACCATATGATAGCCAATACTTGCCCCAACATGCATGGGAAGTTTCATCACGATCCATCAACCGATGTCCGTACCACCGGCAGGAAACCTCGGGCGTTGGCACTCAGTTTGTGAAAATCCGGCCGGAGGCTGTTCCCTTTGTGACGTCATAACTCCGTGACCTGACATGACCCGGTCAATTTTTTTTTATCAAAAGATGCGCAAGGTTTGCCCCATAAGGTACCCAAAATTTGGCGGCGCTGCGCGCCGCCGTTTTTGCACTATTACCGAAAAACCTCAGGGGGGGGGTTGCACCAACCCCCCCCCTACATGGGCGAGGGTTAATCAAGAACTTCCAGTTCATTCGTGGAATTACTAGCAAATTACCTACTGAGTGCGCACCAACCATTGCTATCGACTTTTCATTGATCAAAGGAAACTCGTGACATCCTAGGTCTTCTATCGTATCACGATCTCATCAATCAGTGGAATTCGGTTAAATTATTACGCTGTCAATATTTGAACGCTTTCCAGCCCTGTGTTTGGCTTGGCAATAACGGTGCGACACTGACTCTGTCCTCGCCAAGGACGGCGACCGCTACTGGTAACAGTTGGTGATTGGCTTGGTAGGTATATAGAAGTTAGGTCTAAGACAGATGTACCCTCACACTCAGAGGGTACCCCACTCAGTAGGTACCCTCACAGCTTACGGATGCATGTTGGTAAAGTGTGGCATGTTTCTTGGCAATTATAGTCGGAAGTGAATAGTGCGAAGTTTAACAATTTTTTTTTTTACTTTGACCTGTGCAGGATAGCCATTCTTCGTGTGAATGTTCCACATTTTACAAGACAATATGTGGGTAACAAATACTATTTACCGATGGATGATAATTATTGTATCGTCCTTCTTCCTAGCCGTTCAGTCCTACATATTTCCTTTTCGCTTTCAAACTACAGTTTTTTAGATAGATGGGTTAAGTGGTCAGAATCTGACTCATGATCCAGCTTTGTACTGACATACGTAATTTCCCGACTAATTCTCCAAGGGGCGTGATAAAGCATCCACTCCACATTACGAATTCATGCAGAGCTTGTTCCTTGGCCTGTTCGACCAGCGCCGCAAGGGCTGTGCTGCCGGGCTGCCCTCTAGCCTGAGCTACCGTATAGGTATAAGTGAACGGTTTGCTGCACCGTCAGTTGTTAATACTTAGCAATTGGCATACCTGCTTGTGAAAGAACCATAACTAACTATATCAGATAAGACTGGACATGCTGGTTATAACATCCATGACGAATAAGACGTAGTTACGCACGCTAAGGTCAGTTAAAGGAAATATAATTTCACCTGAGCCCAGCGAGCACGCGATATAACTCGTGGATCCACAACAGTCCGTATTAACTCGTGTTTCGTGGAGCGCCGGATCAATTTGTCTCAGTTGATCAAGATGTTGAACCAGGCGTTAATAAGACAGGAGTTTGGACCGCGGTAGTAGCAGCATTTCGTGATAGCTGGACAGAAGGGCGAGAGATTATTGCGCCTCGATGATGGTAGGCTGTTTTAGGGGCGTTCAGCAACTAATTGAATAATAAACAGCATAACGATTTCCTAACCCGCGCCCCGTAGGGGGGGGCCGAAACGGCCCCCCCTGTCCTTTTCGGTCGATATCTCCTAAACCGCTTCAGATATCGCCACCAAACTTTCAGGACCTCTCCGGGCATCAATTTTACACATTGTGACCAAATTTTTTTTTCCAGAGGCTATGATAGGTTGGCCACAAATGACGTCAGAATGACGTCATGTTCTGTCATTTTCGACCGAAAAAAGACCTTCGCGAGAAGACCTGTCAGGCCTACAGCTTTGAAGATACAGAAAAATGATCAAGACATAAAAGGTGTAGAATTGACAGGGCTACAAAACTGGTATCTCGGATTTTTGAAATTTTTGAGTTTTAAACCCCAAAAATCAAAAAAGCATTTTTTTGGATATATTAGCCAAAAAATCCAAAAAGTTTTTTGAGTTAAAAAAAAACGGAATATATGTGATAGTACCTACCGTCTTCTATCTACATACCGAATTTCAGATCGATACCTCGTTTTTTGGCCAAGTTATAGCGAAAAAAACTGTTCAAAATTGAGGACGTCAAATTTTCAAACTCAATTTTTGGCAGTTCTAGACCTCGTAGAGCAAAACAAAGACCACCATTAGACTCCCCGTGACGAGCTGCATCGAAACGATACCCATTTTATGCAAAAATATCAACTTTGAAATTTGACCTTATTTGACCTGACCTTGACCTGACCTTCACCAAAACGTGACCTAGGCTGGCCCCAAAGGCTGCCTAACCCACATAATCGCATTTGTCATGTAAAATGGACCATAAAACATGTATCACACGACACTTTCATATTGTGACCCGGTGACCTGACCTCGCTGTGACCTGACCTGGTATCAGTGACCTCAGATAGCAAAGTATGCTGGGGGGATCCGTGCTATCGTAAGTTATATCGGACGTGGCTGCGAAACTTCTCTCGGTACGAAACTTCTCTTGATCGGAAGAAAATCGGAGGGATGAAAAAGAAAGAGCGGCAAATCGGAGCTACGTTGTACGTAAGTTGTTTCGCAGCGTTTAAATGCCAGTTTTACTACGATTTAAATGCCAAACAGATCAGCTGACCTCGTAGTACCATGTCGATAAGGTCGAATTCCCCATACGTCTATAGTGTAAAAGTGACACTTATTGCAAATAGGCTATCAGGGACATCTCCTCCTCTGTAAATTTGGAGGGATCATGTGTCGGC